CAGACACCCATTTATACATTCATACATAGTATTCCCAGCTGTCTCCAATTCAATACTAAGTAGGAATGGCTGTTATCTTTTGAGCTTGGATAAGGTAGGCCAATGATGCCATCTGTTGAGGCTGAAAAAATGCTTAATACTACTCAGGAGACAACTCTCACCTCTGTGGTTTGGCCCATGGGATCATCAGGATTGGGTTTCTTGTAGACTTTGATGCCATTCTGGGCTTGTTCCACAGACTTAAATTTTTATTTTGGTGTGTTTGTTTTCTAGCCGGAGGTCTGGTCAGTATACAATGAATCATGATAACTCTAAGAAGCCTTCAGGGAAGCTCCCTTGCGAGCATTCAGGATCTCAAGATTCACTTGATGAGTTATCCATGGATGACTATTGGAAAGAACTTGAAAATATCCATGAAACAAGAAGTGGTAATCATGAAGAACGTGATCTGGTTGTGGTGAAAGAACCTGACGGTAATTACATACTCTATGAAATTATTCCATAGATTTTGAAGGTTTGGTTTTGCACTGTTTGGTTTCTGCTTCTAGTCTAGGTTTGTGTAGTACAGATTTCAGATTGGTGGATGTCTCTAAATCTGTCACCTAGTAATGGTATGCTGGTAATAATGTCAAAAACACGGATGTGTTACTATAGATTACTAAGGACTGTAAGGAAAGATACTTCCTTAAATGGCATATAATTTATGTGTGGAATTTATGGCTGCAATATGTGCAGATAGCTTTAAAGAAGGATTATGAGCAGTTATTTATTAATTATGACATTGAAAACCAGAACATACATTGGAGTGAGTTTTGATTCTGGGTATTTGGTTGACCATCTCTGGAAGCAAGATGCTAGATATATAAAGCTTTAATTATACCCAATAGATTGGTTCCATATGTTTCCCATTGATGTTGAAGGGGGTATGAGAGGTTCTGATTTTTGTGATGCTTGCTAGCTATGTAATTATCTCCAGTCAGAACGTACACATTCATTATATAAAAAGTAATAGGACTGGAGAAGATAATGGAATAAAATACAAGTCATCTGTGTATATGGTTTACAAGGCCTACATCAAACCAGGATCAGCTTTACTTTTGGCAATTAGGTCCTGAATAACTATTTTATTTTTCTGTCATACTAGCCTCTGGTGAGGATAGTACAGGTAGTCTTCCAGTTACAAGTGTCCATTCCACTCATAACTCGAAAACTCATAGAGTGAATCTCGTACCTTGAACGAGATCACTCCCTTGCTCGTTAAAACGCATGCGGCTCATTAAACGATCATGAAGTATTTCAGGGTGGGGAAGGCCATGGAGGGCCTAGTGATGGAACAGGCCACCAAGACCTCCCCGATCCACTAAGATACCACATGCTTCCTCTTCCCTTCCTGCCGCGCCGGACTCACCTGGAAAAGATCCGTCTCCTCTCTGCCACGGTTTCTGCTGCTGCCCGGATCTGAGGTTGGGGACGCTTCTGCAGCCCCCTGTGGCCCAATCTGGACTCCGGAGGCTTTTTCCAGGCCGCTATCACCTGGATCTGAGGCCGGGGAACGCTTCCGCACCCTTCCGAGGCCTGATCTGGGCTCTGGAGGCCTTTTCCAGGCTGTTGCCACCCGGATCTGAGGCTGGCAAATGCTTCTGCAGCCCTCCCATGGCCCGATCAGGGCTCCAGAGGCCTTTTCCAGACTGCTGCAGCCCAGATCTGAGTCTGGGGGATGCTTTTGCACCCCCGTGGCCCAATCTGGGCTCCAGAGATATTTTCCAGGCCGCTGCCACCCGGATCTGAGGCTGTGGAACGCTTCCGCTCCCCCCATGCCCTGATCTGGGTGGCAGCAGCCTGTAAAACTCCTCCAGAGGGCTACATAAGCATCCTCTGGCCTCAGATCTGGGGGGGCAGTGGCCTGGAAAAGGCCTCCGGAGTCCCGATCCAGCCTCCGGGGGAACATTGAAGCATCCCCCGGCTTTGGTTCCATTCTCTTGCAGAGAACAGAGGCCTAAAGTACCGTGAGATCTCGCGAGATCAGTAGCATGAGATCTTGCCCCACTGATCTTGCGTGATCTTGCGTTACTTTAGGCCTCCATTCTCTGTGAACGCATCGAAGGCCTGGAGCAGCCAATAAAGCAAAGGATCTCGATCTTCGCAGGGTGAGTATTGAAGGCCTGGTGCCTAGGGAGACCCGGGGCGCGGGTGGGGAGGGAGGGAATAACCAGGGTGAATGTTGCAGAGCCACTGCGGTCACTCGTAAGGGCGAATGACTGCTGTGGTGCTGCAATATTCCTAATTTTGGGACTTAATTGTAAGCACTAGGGGGTGCTCATCACGTAACTTTGAATGAGCGTTAAGTGAACACTTGTAACTCGGGGATTACCTGTATTGTAGCAATTTGAAATATATTGGAACAACCACAATTGATTTTTGGATGTGTGCTCAACATTATTACAATATAGACTTTGTCTGAGTAGCCATTGATGATCAAACATTGATCAGCTTTAAAAATGTTCCTTTAAAAAAACACCAAACCAAAAATATCAACAGTGTCCTAGAAATTCAGGAATATTTTCACTGTATTTTAAAAATCGGTACTATAAAGCAGTCTGTACTCCTGGTTTCTTTATTTATGAAACTGAAATTAATTGAATCCTAAACTGCCTGGAATGTAGTATAAAAGATTTCACCATTTCATTGGCTGGTTCACAGTAATGTGATATACATAATTCATGATGTGATACTGCCAGCTTTGCTTCCAGAAAATATGAGCAACATTTATTGCCCATTGGTTTATAGTTCAAGAGTAAGAAAGAATTCCAGCCATTATTGATACTGGATTAGGGCCAAACCGTA